GGGGGGGGGGGGGGGGGTGTCCTGGAGGAGTTTTTGGGGCTCCCCGGTGGATTTTGGGGGTGTCCAGGTGGGATTTTGGGGTTCCCAGGGTTAATTTTGGGGTTCCCCAGGTGGATTTTGGGGTCCCCAGGTGAGTCTTGGGGTCCCCAGGTGAGTTTTGGGGTGATTTTGGGGTGAATTTGGGGTTTTTTGGGGCGCACCCTCGACGTCGATGTTGAAGGAGCAGCTGTCCTTCTTGTCCTTGGCCGTGACCTCACCCCGGTCCCCAGGTGAGTTTTGGGGTCCCCAGGTGAGTTTTGGGATGGATTTTGGGGTCCCCAGGTGGATTTTGGGGTCCCCAGGTGTGTTTTGGGGTTGTTTTGGGGTGAATTTGGGGGTTTTTGGGGTGAATTTGGGGGTTTTTGGGGCGCACCCTCGACGTCGATGTTGAAGGAGCAGCTGTCCTTCTTGTCCTTGGCCGTGACCTCGCAGCGATAATCGCCCCGGTCACCGGGGACCACCTTGGAGATGGAGAGCTCGAAGGTGAACACCTGGACAGGTGAGACAGAGACTGTGAACACCTGGACAGGTGAGAGAGAGACTGTGAACACCTGGACAGGTGAGACAGACTGTGAACACCTGGAACAGCTGGAAGGTGAACACCTGGACAGGTGAGACAAAGAATGAACACCTGGATAGGTGAGACAGAGACTGTGAACACCTGGACAGGTGAGATTGGGACTGAACACCTGGACAGGTGAGGGGACACCATGAACACCTGGACAGGTGAGACAGAGACTGTGAACACCTGGAACAGCTGGAAGGTGAACACCTGGACAGGTGAGACAGAGAATGAACACCTGGACAGGTGAGATTGGGACTGAACACCTGGACAGGTGAGACTGAGACTGTGAACACCTGAAACAGCTCAAAGATGAACATCTGGACAGGTGAGGGGACACCGTGAACACCTGGACAGGTGAGACAGAGACTGTGAACACCTGGACAGGTGAGACAGAGACTGTGAACACCTGGACAGGTGAGGGGACACCATGAACACCTGGACAGGTGAGACAGAGAATGAACACCTGGACAGGTGAGACTGAGACTGTGAACACCTGAAACAGCTCAAAGATGAACATCTGGACAGGTGAGGGGACACCGTGAACACCTGGACAGGTGAGGGGACACCGTGAACACCTGGACAGGTGTGACATTGGGCACAGGTGACACCGGGGCACAGGAGGACACTGGGGACAGGAAGGCCGAGCCAGCGAAGACCACGCCCAGTGCTCCCAGTTCAATCCCAGTTCAATCCCAGTTCAATCCCAATTCAATCCCAATTCAATCCCAGTCCATCCCAGTCCCCTCCCAGTCCCTCCCAGTCCCCTCCCAGTCCCCTCCCAGTCCATCCCAGTCCCTCCCAGTCCCCTCCCAGTCCATCCCAGTCCCTCCCAGTCCATCCCAGTCCCTCCCAGTCCCTCCCAGTTTATCCCAGTCCATCCCAGTCCCTCCCAGTCCCCTCCCAGTCCATCCCAGTCCCTCCCAGTTTATCCCAGTCCCTCCCAGTCCATCCCAGTTCCCACCTTGGTCTCCTTCTCGCAGCTCTCCCGGAACTGGAACCGGGCCCCGCTCTTGGCTCCCAGTTCCACCCATTTGCCCTTGAACCACTTCATACTGGGTTTAACTGGGAGCTGCGCCCCGTCCACGCGGGCGACCACCAGCACGTCCCCCCCTGCGGACCCCCCCCCCAAAAAATAAATC